AAACCAAGATTTCCAAATCTGTACTCAACATTTATTCTGTGTGTCTGTGATTTCCTTCCTTGTCATAGCCGGTAATACAAATAACAGCAATCTGGCTTGCATATCAGCATATCACTATTCTAAGTTTACGGCTTGTAATCATCATCGACCATGGTCTCCTTTTTCCCCTTGCTCAAAAATTGGTCTTAGAAGTCTTATCCTTACAGTTTTCTAGGCTGCCGTCATCAGATGACTAGAATTTACACCGTAGAGAAAACAGAATTGCAACCTTTGGTTTAGACCTGCATTACTTATATTTTTATAATAATTACTTACTTGGCCCTGGACAAAAGTAGTCAAAAGGGGAAACCATTCTGGGGTAAGGGGTAAAGGGTAAGCAGAGCTGTCTGAGTCACTTGCTATTAGGTGAACGAAAACACAGGAGATAAAACTAACCAGAGAAACAAGTCGAAACTGCCAAGCTTTCTACAACAGTTGCCAAAACAGGAAATTTACTTCCACTAGGCAGATATATAACCACAAAGTTTAACAGATTATAACCAGAAAGACAGGCTGAACAAAGAAAACTTAGACACCAAAATATAAAATAAAATAAAATAAAATCCTCCCTATTTTCCACTGTGAGAGAGATATGTAGTTAAGGTGACTTTGCTTCAGGTATTTTAAAATTCTAAATATATATTTATAAATAAAAATATGGCTTACAATTGCTAGATATTACTCATTTATCAAACAAAATAATAAAAAGCAAATTAATTTTTAAAAACTTTTGCAAGGTACCTGTACAAACACACCAGAGTGCCACAAACAGCCTCATGATTAGAATAAAATGAAGACGTTAAAAATAACGCTGTATAAGTGTATTCATTGACACAGAAAGTTGATCATGACATAATCAAGTTTAAAATGTGGGTTACAAAAGAGAATGTTCACTGTAATCTAGTTTTTTGTGTGTCTTTAAAAGTCTGAAGGCAAAACAACTATTAGTTAACATTTTGGTATAATCTGTAGACGGTGAGATTTTGAGTGATTTTTAGTTTCTTCCTTTTGTTTCTCTGTATTTCCTCACTTTACTGCAACACACATATTATCTGAGAAATTAATTCCTTTTAAAACATACTGCAGCTAGTAATCTGCTCTTGGAGTTTATTACAGCCATCAGAAAGAAGCAAGGAGCAAAGTATTGGTCAACTACAGAAGCTTTGTGTTCAGACTTACCTCTCCAGTCACAGCTGCTTCCACACGGCTGGGTAACCAGAAGTCTGGTCTGATGATTTGAGGACCACTACTATATCCTGACAACCTCCCCACTTTCAACTCCTTAGAGACCTCTACCTTTAACAAACTATTTCCAAATATAAGTCACTCACAGCCAGGGTACCTCAAAACTAATCTTTAAAAGCACATGGTCTATTCAACTTTGTACTAGAAATTCCAACCAGAGCAATCTGGCAAGAAAAATAAATTACAGGCATGCAAATTAGAAAGGAAGAAGTCAAACTATCCCTATTGTAGATGACTGACCTTATATATGCAAAATCCTAAAGAATATACCAAAGAACTACTGAAGCTAATAAATTGAGCAGAGCTGAAGGATGCAAGATCAACAAGCAAAAAAATCTGTTTTATTTCTACCCGGCAGCAATAAACCATCCAAAAAGAAAATTAAGAAAACAATTCCACATGATAGTATCAAAAAGAATAAGGAATAAATTAAAGGTGCAAGACATATACAAAGAAAACTTCAAAACACTGCTGACTCCTATGTTCATTGCAGCACTGTTCACAATAGCCACAATTTGGAAGAAACCTAAGTATCCATCAACAGATAAATGGATAAAGAACATGTGGTACTTATACACAATGGAGTACTATTCAGCCAAAAAAAACAGAATGAGATCCTGTCATTTGTAACAACATGGATGGAACTGGAGGCCGTATAAGCTAAGTGAAATAAACTAGGCACAGAAAGACAAACATCTAATGTTATCACTTAGTTGTGGGATCTAAAAATCAAAACAATTGAACTCAGAGATAGAGAGCAGAGGATGGTTACCAGAGGCTGGGAAGCATAGTGGGAGGGTAAGGGGAAGCTGGAAGTGGTCATTAATAGGTACCAAAAAAATTAAAAAGAATGGACAGGGCACGGTGGCTCATGCCTGTAATCCCAGCACTTTGGGAGGCCAAGGCAGGCGGACCACCTGAGATCAGGAGTTCAAGACCAGCCTGGCCAACGTGGTGAAACCCCGTCTCTACAACAATACAAATATTAGCCAGGCATAATGGTGGGTGCCTGTAATCCCAGCTACTCAGGAGGCTGAGGCAGGAGAATCACTTGAACCCGGGAGGTGGAGGCTGAAAAGAGCTGAGATCATGCCATTGCACCCCAGCCTGGCCAACAGAGCGAGACCCCATCTCAAAAAAAAAAAATAAAGAATAAGACCTAGTATTTGATAGCACAATCTGAGGGTGAGGCAGGAGAATCGCTTGAACCTGGGAGGTAGAGGCTGCAGTGAGCTGAGATCGTGCCATTACACTCCAGCCTGGCCAATAGAGCGAGACTCCATCTCAAAAAAACAAAAAAATTAAAAAGAATAAGACCTAGTATTTGATAGCAAAACAATTATTGACTGTAGTCAATAATTTAATTGTATATTTTAAAATAACAAAGAGTATAATTGGATTGTTTATAGCAAGGGATAAATACTTGAGGAGATGGGAACTCCATTTTACTTGATGTGATTATTAGACATTACATGCCTGTGTCAAAACATCCCATGTACCCCATAAATATATACACCTATTATGCAGCCACAAAAAATAAAATTTAAAATTAAAAAAAAAAAACTGCTGAAAAATTAAAGTGTAATGAAATAAATGGAAATGCATCCCATGCTCATAAATTGTAAGATTTTTGTGATTTTGTTTTTTTATATTGTAAAGATGGCAATGCTTTCCCAAGTGATCTCTAGATTGAATGCAATCCCTATCAAAATCCCAACAGGCTTTTCTGGAAAAACAGAAAAGCTGATCTTAAATATGTAAATGCAAGGGACCAAAAAATAGTCAAAACAATTTTGAAAAAGAAGAATAAAGTTGGAGGATTCATGCTTCTGAATTTCGAAACTACAGTAATCAAAAGAATGTGTTAACTGACATAAGGATAGACATATAGATCAGTGAAACACAACACAAAGGGCAGAAATAAACCCATACATATATGGTCAATTGATTTCTGACAAGGGTGCCAAGGCCATCTTCAACAAACAGTGCTGAGAGAACTGAATATATGCAGGCAAAAGAATGAGGTTGGACCCTTACCTCACTTAATGTACAAAAATTATTTCAAAACGGATCAATGACCTACATATAAGAGATAAAAGTATAAAATTCTTAAAAGGAAACTTAAGGGTAAGTATTCACCAACCGTAGATTTGGCAATTGTTTTTCAGATGACACCAAAAACACAAGCAATAAAAGAAAAAATAAATTGGACTTCATCAAAAAAATTTCTGTGCATCAAAACAGACGGACTATCAAGAGAGTAAAAATATAACCCACCAATGAAATATTTACAAATCATATATTTGATAAGGGTCTAGTAGCTATATAAAGAATTCTTAAAATGAAACAACAAGCAACAAGGCAAACAATTTAATATTTTTTAAAGGGGAAAGAATTTGAATAAACATTTCTCCAAAGAAGAGAAACAAATGGCCAAAAAGCAAATGAAAAGATGCTCAACATCATTAGTTATTAGGGAAATGCAAATGAAAACAACAATGAGATACCACTTCATACCCACTAGACTGGCCATTATCAAAAAGTGAAAAATAATAGATATCGACAAGGATGCAGAGAAATTAGAATCCTGATACATTGCTGGTAGAAATTTGAATGGTACATCTGCTATGGAAAATAGTTTGGCAGTTCCTTAAAAAATTAAACACAGAATTACCATATGACCCAGTAATTCTACTCATAGGTAAATATTCAAAAGAACTGAAAACGTGTATTCAAATAAATACTTGCACACAAACGTTCACAGAGGCACTATTCACAATAGCCAAATGGTAGAAATAACTCAAATATCCATCAACTGACAAGCAGATAAACAAAATGTGGTATACTCTTACCATGGAATATGATTCAGCCATAAAAAGGAATGAAGTACTGATATATGTACAGGGTTTCTTTCTGAGGTGACGAAAATCTCTTGGAGCTAGATAGAGGTCACGGTTGCACAACATTGTGATATATTGTATCCTTTTTCTTTTTTTTTTTGAGACAAAGTCTCACTCTGTCGCCAGGCTAGAGTGCACTGGCACGATCTTGGCTCACTGCAACCTCCACCTCCCGGGTTCAAGCAATTCTTCTGCCTCAGTCTCCCAAGTAGCTGGGACTACAGGCACACACTACAATGCCCAGCTAATTTTTGTATTTTTAGTAGAGATGGGGTTTCCCCATATTGGCCAGGCTGGTCTCAAACTCCTGACCTCGTGATCTGCCCACCTCAGCCTCCCAAAGTGCTGGGATTACAGACGTGAGCCACTGCACCCAGCCTGTATGCCATTTTTAAATGGTTACTGCACCGGTAGCCCTTGCTACTTGGGAGGCTGAGGTTGGAAAACCCCTGAGCCCAGTAGTTCAAGGTTACAGTGAGCTATCATTGTGCCACTGCACTCCAGCCTGGGCAACACAGCAAGACCCCATCACTAAAAAATAAAATAAAAATATTTTATTTTATAAAAATAAGATATTTTAATAAAATTAAAATACAATGGCTTATGATTAATTTTAAGTTATATATGCCTCAATAAAATAATACCAAAACAAAGCATGGTCTAACAACCTAAAACATTTTAAACGATTTATTTTCCATTCAGAAACCATCATAGGTTTTTAAATAAATTAAAAGTTATTTCATCATAGCATTTTTTAAAAAGCTACTCTCCAAAATGCTTCAAAGAGTAATATTAATAGAACGCCCTATTTCTTACCAGAAGACTCTTTTCCATTCTGTTTTTCATACAGGGTGCCCACAGACATCAGGAAAACAATAACCAAGAATACGGGAATTCTCCATGAGCCAGCGAGGGATGCTGCAAATTAAGAATTAACATTTTTAGTGAAATAAAAACATAGTACTTGTTTTTACAAAACCGAATTTTGTAGTTTGACAGAACAATCTGGTATATATGTTAATTACAGAATTACTTATCAGGGAAAAAAAAATTTTTAAGTCCATTAGATAGATTAAACTTCAAGGTTTCCCAAAATTAAGTTCTTCCCTGTTCTCAGAGGCCCCTGGTCAAATGGATAGGGTATATGCCAGCCTACCTTTAATGGGGTTTAAAGACAGTCTATTGTAATGCATATCAAGGGTCTAAAACCATCCCGAACTCAAATCACCTACTTCACCCCAGAATGACCAGAATTAGGCATAGATCTCAAAGTCATAAAGTCTGACTTGGTTTCTTGAAAATACCACTGGGTGTGAACTTTCTCAAGAAAGAGAATGGCCCAAAAGAGTCAATGTCTCCTCCTCAGTGTATAATGCAAAAATGTTTACAAGTTGGCCACATGCAGTGGCTCACATCTGTAATCTCAGCACTTTGTGGGGGACCCAGGCAGGTGGGCTCATTTGAGGTCAAGAGTTCGAGACCAGCCTGGCCAGCATAGTAAAATCATGTCTCTACTAAAAATACAAAAAAGAATTAGCCAGGCGTGGTGGTACGTGCCTGTAATCCCAGCTATTTGGGAGGCTGAGGCAGGAGAATTGCTTGAACCCAGGAGCTGAAGGCTGCAGTGAGACAAGATCACACTACTGCACTGCAGCCTGGGCGATGGAGTAAGACTCCGTGTCAAAAAAAAAAAAAAAAAATGTTTACAAGTCACCAAGAAACAGGTCTCTAGCCATAACCATTTCCCTGAGTCCACCTAAAACCTCATAAACATCCCTGCCTGCCTGCCTTCTTCCTCTGCCTTCCTCAAGTTCAAAATGAGTCATATCTGACATACAGGATCTAGGAGATAAATTCCTCTATCATTCCAACTCAACAAAGCTAGAGAATAATGCTTTGTTTGACATCAAACAAAGACAGAGACATAGCTGTTTTTTATTTTATTTTTAACAATAAGTAGTAGTTCTAGAAACTAAGGCTACCCACTGCTCTGGGTTACTGAATTGTGTTGTTAAATTGGAACTTAGTGTTTCCACGGGCTCAAACTTGGGAGATGAAAGTCTCAACCATAAATACCACACTGAAAAATCAACATCTGAGCAGTCAGCCACCCAGCTAACATGACAGGGAACCCATTACTCTGAGCGGCTCTGACATCAAACATCCTTATGTGGAAAAGAGATTTGTCTCTCTGAAGCTACTCACGACTCTGACATCTCTCCCTCATGGTTAGAGATCTGTTTAAAGCACTCTTTCACAGGACAGTCCTTCAAATATTAGAAATACGCTTTCATGTCTTATATCCTCCTTACCTCTATCTCCTTTCTACCCTAGACCCCCAGTTCCCTCCTCTTATCCAGAGTAAACATCTCTAGTTCCTTTAACTGGTTCTCACACATGATTCTGAGGACTTCCTATCGTTGACTGCTTATCTATATCCTCCCTTAAGTATGACACTCAGAAATGATATGAAAATCCAAGGGTGCTCTACTTTTTAAGATGTATTGACTTTTAAAAGGACCTTTTGGAAAATGAACATAATTAAAGACATTTTAAAGCACATCATTTTCATTAAAATTTAATGAAAGACTAAAGCATAACATTTTCTAAAGATTAAAGAATTTTAAATGCAACATATAACACTACAAAAAAATCACTTCCATTCACAGTCAGCCTCTGCAGACCTTAGGCCAGACTTAAAAAAAAAAAAAAAAGAAGGAACCCACCTAAATGAAAAAGCAATATAATCCAGATAGGAATTGAAACTGCTCTCAAGTAGCGTTCAGTGCTTGCGTTCCACTTGAATGAAACAGTCAACACATAGCCAACCACCAACGTCCAGATCTTAAATAAATGAAATAAAGACACGGCTGTAAAATCTATACACATGAAAATGAACATAGAATTATATAAAATCTGTGTCTATACAGCAGGAGGGCTCTGGACATAGCACAGAAAAGATAAAGGTTGATGGTGCCAAAGAAACGTGCCTAGGTTTTCCTCGTTTAGAGAATCTAAGTTTTGAAACATTAGGCATTTGAAATCTCACGTAGTGATATTAAATAGTTGTTTAACAAAAGATACATAGCTCAAAAACCATCTTATACATAAAATGTTTGAGATAAAATATACAAAGCATAAACCATGGATTTAAATTAAGAGTCTAATCTTGTGGAATTCCTACAGTTTTCTCTGTTAATCAATGTTTAGAAAAGAAATGGAAAGAAAAAAAACAAGAAAAGGAAAGCTTTCCAAAAAGAATCAGGTTAAGATTCTATTGCAGCTTATAAAATATGTTTGTTACTAGGAAAATAACTCCGTAAAAGTTAGAAAGCAGCCAGCTGAAGTGTGACCCTGCTGAAATAATCTAGGCAACAGATGATTAGAACCTAATCCAGAATTATGATGCACCAGCTGAAGAAGTGTGCCTGAAAAAAAATATTATTAGAGGAACAAACAGCAGGATTTCAGAACAGAAGAATCAGCCAGGATACCCTCCTCAGTTCTTTCTATACTAAAGTTAAATGACTCTAGAGCTTAAGAAGCATCAAAAGAAACCAGTATAGCCTACACAGAAACTCATATTTTAATAGAACATTTATAAAACACAGGGAATACATAATCCAGAACACATCTGAGCACAAAGAACTTAATTAACATAAGACCAAGAAGCTAAAATTCAAGTTTGACATGAATCTTGCCAAAAAAAAAAAAAGCAAATTAAGACAAAAAGAAACTTCAAGCTATGTAATTCAGAGCATGAAGAAAAAAGAACTGATGGGATTACTAAAAAAGACAGAAAAAAACTCTCTCCTACATTATTTTGGTCAAATCTGTCAATAAAAATAATCTTCACATCTTAAAAATGTTTATAGCTTCTAACCTCAGAATTCAACTTTCAGACTTTATCCTTACTAAATAATGATAAATTCTGAAAAAGCTTTAAATATAAAGAAGCTTATCAGAGTATGATTCAGAACAGTGGAAAAAGTGATTACCTAAAAGGTCAACAACTGGGAAACGATTATGACTTACTCAATAAAATGTTATGCAACCATTAAAATCACTTCTTAAAATCAAAGACTATACAGTTTAAAAATTCCCAATATCATACTAAGTTAGAAGTAAAATACAAAGAATGTATATGATGTGATTACATCTACTATATGGTGGGAGGAAAAGAAAATGTACTAAGAAGTTAGTGGCTGTATTTGGGTGGTAAGATTTTGTTCTTCCTTTCACTTTTTTCTGTCTTTTCCAAATTGCCTTTAATAAGCACTAATTATTTTATAATAAAAAGGACATTAAAATATCTTCTTCAAGTAACTCTATCAGATGAAATATTAAAGAGCTCTGAAGCTCAAAAATATGAGGACATGGGAAGTGAGACTACAGCTGCTTCAAAAAGTCCAGTCTTGCTGGACCAGACCAATTAACCCTGGGAATTCAAAGAATTTGAGATCTGATGGTAGAGCGTAGAAAAAAATCTTAGTACAATAATAGTACACTTATATAACAGTCCTATGTGCCAGGCCCTATTCTAATGCTTTATACTAACTCATTTGATCCTCATAACCCCACAAAATAAGTACTATTATGATCCTCATTTTACACATGAAAGAAACTCAGATTTCAGAGAAGTGACTTGCCCAAGGCCACAAAGCTAATAAATGACAGAGGCAGGTTTAGAACCCAGGAATCTGGCTCCAGAGTGCACTTTTCTAACCATAAGGAGAAAGAAGTGTGGTGCTAGAATACCAAAGATAAACAAAAGCTGCTCAGATTTTCACAAGGGAAAATTAAAATAGTCAATTTTGATAACTACAACTTGTTGGAATTTAAAAGAAAAAAATTCAGTAAATGGATAGTCTTCAGAGGTACGTCAGTTAGCTCCACCCTATTAAACATTATGTCAGTCACTTAGATGAAAGACTAGAGGCACAATAATCTAAAAAACTGATTTTACACAAATCAGTTACACAAAACTGAGTTGTCAATAAACACTGAGATAACATATCATGATTCAAAAAGATATCCTGAAGCCAGAACAATGGGCTAATCCAGATAAGATTAAATTATATGAAAAGCAATGCAAAGTTCTGCTTTGAGGTTCAAAACTCAACTGTACAAGTATGGAATCGAAAGAGAACATCTTAACCACTTTTCAGTTCAGTGTGAGTCAGCATATGACTAGTAGAAGCACTTATTTCTGAAAGTACAATACTCATATCAGGGAAAGTGATTGTTTCAATTAATTTTGCACACCAAACCACACAATAAAATTCAGCCTTGGAAAGGAAATAGAAATCACAACACGATATATAAATGTAGCTGGGGGAAAAAAAGTTTTGCTTAGAAAAGAGAAGGAATCAGCTATCCAAAATGGAATAATCATCACTAAAAGTGTTTGAGCAAACGTCAACTAGAGATGACAAAGTAAGTACTACCCTTAATAAGAAGCTGAACTGGAGGTCACAATATATACAGTACCTCCAATAAGTTTTTGTTTCTTATCTGTATGCATAAGGAATTAATATCATTTGCAGGGAGAGAAAAAATAAGAGACTGCATACTTCAGATTTTTTAAGAGAAATTTATGATCTAACAAGAAGCATGTATTTTCATCTATCAACCTGAAACTCACAGATTACCCCATTCCAGTTTAAAATAACCATTTTAAAATATACTCCCCAATTCTACTTTTAGGAGTGTTTTACAGAAGCACACTGTGCAGGCAGATACAAAAATATTCACTGTTGCCATTTACAATATAAAAAATTGAAAACAACTTAAGTATTTTATAGGGAACTATTTAAATAATGCTATCTCCAAAAATTGAGTAATTACTCAGACTTTCAACAGTATGATGGACATCAACATGCAGTGCTACAATGTCAGTTTATTCGTCTGTAAATTTATAATGGTGAAAACATACTAAACAAAAAAAATTTTAAAATATTATCTCTACATGGTTGGACTTCAAGGAGTAATTTGCTTATGTTTTTTTTACAGGTACTTAATTTTCTACTAAGGTTATGTAGTATCTTTATAAACAGAAAAAGAAGTATTTTTAACTTTTAGGAAATTCTTTTGGCTTCTGGATTTTTTTCCAGTATTTTGAAGTGTTTCCTCAGAAAAGATTCGCAGAAGTAATATCAGTTTAAGATGTACGGGCCATTTATAAAAACACTTTAGAGTTTATATTAAGCCCATTATGATTATACAATTACCAATGGTTAAAAATGTTTATCAAATCATTCTAATACAAATTCAGAGCTAAGAAAATCTGTTAAAAACATTTTCTAAAAGTGTTTTAGAAATCCGGGGGGAAAAAGATTTATACTGTAGCAGTATTAAAAAGAAAGAAGTGGCCAGGCGCGGTGGCTCACACCTGTAATCCTTGCACTTTGGGAGGCCGAGGCAGGCGGATCACATGAAGTCAGGAGTTCAAGATCAGCCTGGCCAATGTGGAGATACCCTGTCTCTACTAAAAATACAAAAATTAGCCAGGTGTGGTGACATGTGCCTGTAATCCTGGCTACTCGGGAGGCTGAGGCAGGAGAATCACTTGAACCCAGGAGGTGGAGGTTATAGTGAGCCGAGATTGCACCATTGCACTCCAGCCTGGACAGCAAGAACAAAACTCCATCTCAAAAAAAAAAAAAAAAAAAGACAGACGTGTATCTCTAAGTGCTAACAAGGAAAGATATCCACAGTACAATGATAAATGAAAGAGCAAAGTACAGAACTGTATGTTATCTCATCTTTGTTTTAAAAAACAAAAAACCAAAACCTTCTACTTTGTATGTTCACATGGGCATAGAAATGAATTTAGGAGCCTTTACATCAAACAGTTAACAATAGTAACATCTGAATAGTGGGACTAGTGGTGGAGAAAAGGGATAATTCGGCCGGGCGCGTTGGCTCACGCCTGTAATCCTAGCACTTTAGGAGACCAAGATGGGCAGATCACAACGTCAGGAGTTCAACACTAGTCTGGCCAACATGGTGAAATCCCACCTCTACTAAAAATACAAAAATTAGCCAGGCACGGTGGCGGGCACCTGTAATCCCAGCTACTCGGGAGGCTGAGGCAGGAGAATTGCTTGAACCAGGGAGGCGGAGGTTACAGTGAGCCAAGATCACACCACTGCACTCCAGCCTGAGTGACAGAGCAAGAATCCGTCTCGCAGGGAAAAAAAAGAAAAGGGATAATTCACTTTTATCATATAAACTTCTATTCAGCTTATGTTTTTTTCAAATGTAACAAACATTTTACTTGAGTCAACATTTTGAATCACTAAATATCCTTTAAAATAACAAAAATAAGGATTTGTACATTCATGTTTTACACATAATTTCTAGTCTAGGAACCCTTAAGAGTTTTTTAATTCTTAAATCTTCACTAACACAGAAACATGAGGTTAACAAGTCAACTTTATATATGTTTAGCCTCTGAGCAAACCTATTCAAGTGTGAATTTATTCCAGGCATTAAATCAATGAGCCGCAGTTACAGATAAGAGGGCATATTTTTCCAAATTTATGTTCTCCAAAACAAGATGTCCTTTTCAAAATACACATTCCATAGTCGTTTTTATAGCACCAATGTGCTAGACACTACATAAGACTGCATAAAATTTGGCAACATTTACTTAGCACTTCAAGTAAAGGGAACTAATAGGCAATCACATTTTCCTTTCATTTCACACAATTATCCACATATACTTTCCTGGTTAAGTAACATATTAAATGTAGAAAACATTAACTAGAGACTCTGCCTTTTCAACTGTCTTTGTTTCATTTATTGTCATCTGGGCATTAACTGGAAAAACAACTTGGTTG